GCAATCTATTTTTTTTCTTCACTATGACAGATGACCTGAGGGGCCCCCTAAATAAAATCGATGCAAAAGTTCACTCCTATCAGTCACCTTGCTATCTGAATAAATTGTATGGGAGCTGCCATGACCTCTCACTGAGAACAGTGGGACAGAAACACATCAGCTGCAATCACAGCACCTAGATGTGTGGAGATTGTTTTGTCCTTAAAGTGGAGTTCTACCTGGAAAAACAAAAAATAGAAGTCAGAAGCTACAAAAACTGTAGCTGCTGACTTAAAAAATGCAGACACTAACTGTCCCTCGGTCCGCTGGTATCCTCACAACCAGGGCTGCTGTTAGAAACCATGGGGCCCCATACAGCCAGACTGACAGGGCCCCCTAAAAAAAAGTACACAGTTTACTATGCTTCAGTTATGAATGAACACAGTGAGTGATCGGTACTGAACATTAACTGTGTCCGTTCAGGGAAGGAAGGAGCTGGTAAATGTGACATATTTTACCGGAAACTTCCCCCTCTCTCCATCCTGAGGGATCCTATTGTGAGCTTGCAGCTGCTAGTGGGAAAGAGAGGAGGGAATCTGGTAGCACTGTGGGGGGGCACACGGGGGGCATGGGCAGCAGGGGAAAACGTATGGTGCACAGGGAGCGTGATGGGTGTGGTGGGGGGGCAATTACTAGAACCAATGTCCTGCATGGCTCTCTCTGTAGCAGCTGAAAGCCAGCGGGAGGGAGAAGAGATGAAGCCAGCTTTCAGCTGCTGCAGAGAGAGCCATACAGGGGATCGGTTCCAGTAATTACCCCCCTGCCATGCCAATCACCTTCCCTGCTCACATCCAATTCACCCAACTGACCTGGGCCCCGTACAGGAGGATTGGTAGTACCCCCTAATCCATGGCTCTGCTCACAACCGCTGGTTTCAACGGCATCTTCAGTGTGGGCACCCGGCTGTGACAGCTTGTGGCTTCACAACCAGGTGCCCACTGCGCATGCGCGAGCAGGGCTGCGCTTTGTGAATGGCCCCGTAGTCTTCTGGGACCCGTCACGTGTCCCAGAAGACTACAGGGAGGGAGTGGCGGAGGACAACTTCCGCTTCCGATCGCCTAGGCAATCACAGCAGAAGTGGGAGCGGGTACCTGTCAAATTCAGCTACCTTTTCCCCAAAGGTGCCAGGGGGACAAAGGCTTAAAGTGGAACTTCCCCTTTTGGGTGGAGGGCCGCTTTAACTTGGCTGACGCACCATTTCATCCCTATGTGGCGATTTGAATAAAGCATTGATCGATAAGTAACCCGGCAGCATTCGCAATGTATCGGAAAGTTTCTGCCTGAGCATTGAGCACTTCAGGTGATAGCAAGGACTTCTTACTGCTTGACTCTTATGCAGGCCATACACAGGTCAAATTCCGAAAGAATTTTCTTTCAAAAAACCTTTTCTAAGAATTTTCGTTCAAATTTAATTCCATTAGTGCGGTCACAGCAACGGCCGATGTTCGTGTGACCATTGAATTTGAGTGATCGGGCATGTTGGAAATTTTTTGAAAAATGAACGAATTTCGAATCAATGATGGGAGAATCGTACAAGAAATATAAAGCTGTGACCTGGAAAGAAAAGAAAATTCTTGGCCACGAAAACTCTTGTCTGTAGAAAAAAAATTGAAGGCTTGGTTGATTAAATTTCAAAAACAATGGTGGCACCATCGGATTACAAAACATACAAAATTTCTGATTTTCGAAAGAAAATTCATTCGGAATTCGACCCCAGAAAATCAGAAATTTTGTACGTTTTGTAATCCGATGGTGCCACCATTGTTTTTGAAATTCAATCAACCAAGCCTTCAAATTCTTTTCTACAGAAAAGTGTGGAGCGCTGCTGTGATTAATGTGATATTGATTGCTATTCATGACAATTGTTGTTTTTAAACATAAAGTACCTAGCACTCAAGCTTAGTTGTATTCATCATTCTGACATAAGCGCTGGATCATGTGCATTGGTTGCATGCTTTTTTAGCACATTTTTGTTTTTACAACTAATTTAGTGTCTACATCACTGCCCCAAAGTGATGTCAACAGAATTTGAGACAGAGGGTTCCCCTGCCAAACGTCCAGTAAAGGGCAGAGTGACTTATGCAAAGCACAGCAGGCTATGCCCTCAGAATATGGGTGTCAGGAGCCATAAACCAGGCGGAGACAGAAAGTGCAGTTAAAATCACACCCAAGGGCGGACTGACCATTCAAGCACTCAGGCACTGCCCGAGGGCCCGGGGTCAGTAGAGGGCCCCATGAAATGCCCCTGGTACCTTTTTATAGGCTTTTTTGGGTATGCTTTGAGTGTGGGCAAGGACACAGGGGCCCCATGATCCCCCCATTCGAGCACTCAGGCACTGCCCGAGGGCTCGGGGTCAGTAGGGGGCCCCATGAAATGCCCCTGGTACCTTTTTATAGGCTTTTTTGGGTATGCTTTGAGTGTGGGCAAGAACACAGGGGCCCCATGATCCCCCCATTCGAGCACTTGGGCACTGCCTGAGGGCCCGGGGTCAGTAGGGGGCCCCATGAAATGCCCCTGATACCTTTTTATAGGCTTTTTTGGGTGTGCTTTGAGTGTGGGCAAGGACACAGGGGCCCTATGATCCCCCCATTCGAGCACTTGGGCACTGCCCGAGGGCCTGGGGTCAGTAGGGGGCCCCATGTAATGCCCCTGGTACCTTTTTATAGGCTTTTTTGGGTATGCTTTGAGTGTGGGCAAGGACACAGGGGCCCCATGATCCCCTAATGCCCGGGGGCCCCATGAGTTGTCAGTCCGCCGCTGATCATATCTTTTAATGAAATAGCAAATATAACTTTGATCAGGAACGTAGTCAAAACAGAAGCCAGGGTTTGGATGCCAGAGCGGGTAATCAGACGATCTAGGGTCAGGAAACCAGAAGTCAGCATAGTCAGGAGCCAAAAAATCAGGAACAGGAACCAGAAGAGATGTCAGCCAGACCGAGTTGTACACAGGAACACAGGCAGGGACAGACTGGAGATCATAGACCACTCAAGGGCAAGGAGCAAATGAGCTATGCTGCTAAAGTAGCAAAAAGGGCTGGCTGTAGGCTGGATTAATGAGCCAGGTGATGGTATCCAGGTGAGTCACTGGCTGGTAATTAACTGACAACTGAGCAGCTTCTGAGTGCTGAAAGAAAAGAGCTGCTCATTAAGTAGCAGGAGCCCAGCCCTGACAATGGGACTGTTGGGGGGATGTGATAGTCATTTGAAGAATTTTGGGGGCTACTCATGAGATATTTGCACCATGCAGCCCTGGGCTATTTCTTAATGCAGCTCTGGGCTCATAAGCTATTCTCCTGTCAAAGTTAAATGATGAAGTTTAGACGGTGTGCCCCTTTAACCTTCATTATCTATAAATATATATGTTGTAAGTTATCGGATGTTACCATTATCACTGTCTTTTGCTCTGCTTTATTATATGGATGGTAAGTCAGATCTGTTCTTGTCATTGTGCAGAAACCTCTCCATGGTGATAGGGACAGTAGGCAAGAACAGAAGAGAAAACTGACATTGATTCGAAAAATCTGTATAGGACTGTGACCTTTTCAGAACAGAAGCTTAGGACAAAGCGGCATTTATTTAATAACTCAACAAATAGCGATCATGTACAATAACCCAAGAGAGACAATCACATCTCAAATCTTAGCACAATAGGTTAGGGGCATGTTGGATGAGAGTACGGTATTTTCTGGCGTATAAGACTACTTTGTATACTTATAAATATAAAATATACCCCAAAATTTGGGGGTGGTCTTATACGCGGGGTATAAAATGTGAACCTTGAGTTTGTTTGGGTCAAGCTGGCTGGATGTGCGGTAATACGGTAGCTTCGGCTACATACAGTATACAGTATATATACAGCCCGCTGGATGTGCGGTATATACAGTATACTGAGCCAAGCGGTTTCAAAACGTACCGGTACGTCCCTACTGTAATCAGACCGCTGGATGCGTGTATGTACGGTAGCTGAGGCTACATACAGTATACACTGGGCCAATCACGGCGAGCGATATATTCTACTAATGAATACAAAGACTGCTCGGATTGGCTGAGTCAGAGAGGTGGGCTGATGATGTCACAACCTCAGCCAATCCGAGCAGGCTTTGTATTCATTAGTAGAATACATCGCTCGCCGTGATTGGCCCAGTGTATACTGTATGTAGCCGCAGCTACCGTACATACACGCATCCAGCGGGCTGATTACAGTAGGGACGTACCGGTACGTTTTGAAACCGCTTGGCTCAGTATACTGTATATACCGCACATCCAGCGGGCTGACAGATTCATCTCTCATAGGGACATTTGTTTTGAGCCAGCTTGGCTCAGCGCGGTATACGGTTTGTACATTACCGCACATCCAGCGGGCTGTATATATACTGTATACTGTATGTAGCCGAAGCTGCCGTATTACCGCACATCCAGTGGTAACATCTGATTTGGAATTTGATCCATATGATGACTGTCTTACAAATGTATCACAAGATGTCATTCATGAACTTATGATGTCAGAGGATGAACATGAGGATTTTGAAGGATTTTAAGTACCGGTAAGTCATAACCATTTCAATTAAAAAATCTGATGTTTGTAAATGGTGTTGCCTCAGAAGGGGGTAGTCTTATACGGCGAGTATAGCCCAAAACCTATGTAACTGGAAAATTAGGGGGTCGTCTTATACACCCAGTCGCCTTATACGCCGGAAAATACGGTACTTGAATACTAATGTCTTTGTTAATAAAAAAAATAAATAAAGGGGGAAAAAAATAATAATATATATATATATATATATATATATTCACTATATCTGGTCTCCCCATACCCTGCATTCACTATATCTGGTCTCCCCGGACCCTGCATTCACTATATCTGGTCTCCCTGGACCCTGCATTCACTATATCCGCTCTCCCCGGACCCTGCATTCACTATATCCGGTCTCCCCGGACCCTGCATTCACTATATCCACTCTCCCCGGACCCCGCATTCACTATATCCGGTCTCCCCGGACCCCGCATTCACTATATCCTGTCTCCCCGGACCCCGCATTCACTATATCTGCTCTCCCCTGACCCTGCATTCACTATATCCGGTCTCCCCGGACCCCGCATTCACTATATCCTGTCTCCCCGGACCCCGCATTCACTATATCTGCTCTCCCCCTGACCCTGCATTCACTATATCCGGTCTCCCCGGACCCCGCATTCACTATATCTGGTCTCCCTGGACCCTGCATTCACTATGTCCGCTCTCCCCCGGACCCTGCATTCACTATATCCGCTCTCCCTGGACCCTGCATTCACTATATCCGATCTCCCCGGACCCTGCATTCACTATATCCACTCTCCCCGGACACTACATTCACTATATCCGCTCTCCCCGGACCCTGCATTCACTATATCCGGTCTCTCCCGGACCCTGCATTCACTATATCCACTCTCCCCGGACCCCGCATTCACTATATCCGGTCTCCCCGGACCCCGCATTCACTATATCCTGTCTCCCCGGACCCCGCATTCACTATATCTGCTCTCCCCCCTGACCCTGCATTCACTATATCCGGTCTCCCCGGACCCCCCGCATTCACTATATCTGGTCTCCCTGGACCCTGCATTCACTATGTCCGCTCTCCCCGGACCCTGCATTCACTATATCCGCTCTCCCTGGACCCTGCATTCACTATATCCGATCTCCCCCCGGACCCTGCATTCACTATATCCACTCTCCCCGGACCCTACATTCACTATATCCGCTCTCCCCGGACCCTGCATTTCTATATCCGGTCTCGCCGAACCCTGCATTCACTATATCCGGTCTCCCCCGGAACCCCGCATTCACTATATCCGGTCTCCCCGGACCCCGCATTCACTATATCCACTCTCCCCGGACCCTACATTCACTATATCCGCTCTCCCCGGACCCTGCATTTACTATATCCGGTCTCGCCGAACCCTGCATTCACTATATCGGTCTCCCCGGACCCCGCATTCACTATATCCGGTCTCCCCGGACCCCGCATTCACTATATCCGGTCTCCCCGGACCCCGTATTCACTATATCCGGTCTCCCCGGACCCCGCATTCACTATATCCGCTCTCCCCTGACCCTGCATTCACTATATCCGGTCTCCCGGACCCCGCATTCACTATATCCTGTCTCCCCGGACCCCACATTCACTATATCTGCTCTCCCCTGACCCTGCATTCACTATATCCCGGTCTCCCCGGACCCCGCATTCACTATATCTGGTCTCCCTGGACCCTGCATTCACTATGTCCGCTCTCCCCGGACCCTGCATTCACTATATCCGCTCTCCCTGGACCCTGCATTCACTATATCCGATCTCCCCGGACCCTGCATTCACTATATCCGCTCTCCCCGGACCCTGCATTCACTATATCCGCTCTCCCCGGACCCTGCATTCACTATATCCGGTCTCCCCCGGACCCCGCATTCACTATATCTGATCTCCCCGGACCCTGCATTCACTATATCTGGTCTCCCCGGACCCTGCATTCACTATATCCGGTCTCCCCGGACCCTGCATTCACTATATCCGGTCTCCCCGGACCCTGCATTCACTATATCCGCTCTCCCCGGACCCTGCATTCACTATATCCGGTCTCCCCGTACCCTGCATTCACTATATCGGTCTCCCCGTACCCTGCATTCACTATATCCGGTCTCCCCGGACCCTGCCTTCACTATATCCGCTCTCCCCGGACCCCGCATTCACTATATCCGCTCTCCCCGGACCCCGCATTCACTATTATCCGCTCTCCCCGGACCCCGCATTCACTATATCCGGTCTCCCCGGACCCTGCATTCACTATATCCGGTCTCCCCGGACCCCGCATTCACTATATCCGGTCTCCCCGGACCCTGCATTCACTATATCCGGTCCTCCCCCGACCCCGCATTCACTATATCCGGTCTCCCCGGACCCCGCATTCACTATATCCGGTCTCCCCGGACCCCGCATTCACTATATCCGGTCTCCCCGGACCCCGCATTCACTATATCTGGTCTCCCCAGCCCTACATTCACTATATCCGCTCTCCCTGGACCCTGCATTCACTATATCTGATCTCCCCGGACCCTGCATTCACTATATCTGGTCTCCCCGGACCCTGCATTCACTATATCCGGTCTCCCCGGACCCTGCATTCACTATATATACGCTCTCCCCGGACCCTGCATTCACTATATCCGCTCTCTCCCCGGACCCTGCATTCACTATATCCGGTCTCCCCGGGACCCCGCATTCACTATATCTGGTCTCCCCGGACCCCGCATTCACTATATCCGCTCTCCCCGGACCCCGCATTCACTATATCTGGTCTCCCCGGACCCTGCATTCACTATATCCGCTCTCCCTGGACCCTGCATTCACTATATCTGGTCTCCCCGAACCCTGCATTCACTATATCCGGTCTCCCCGGACCCCGCATTCACTATATCCGGTCTCCCCGGACCCCGCATTCACTATATCCGGTCTCCCCCGGACCCCGCATTCACTATATCTGGTCTCCCCAGGCCCTACATTCACTATATCCGCTCTCCCTGGACCCTGCATTCACTATATCTGATCTTCCCGGACCCTGCATTCACTATATCTGATCTCCCCCGGATTCTGCATTCACTATATCCGGTCTCCCCGGACCCTGCATTCACTATATCCGGTCTCCCCCGGACCCTGCATTCACTATATCCGCTCTCCCGGACCCTTCATTCACTATATCCGCTCTCCCCGGACCCTGCATTCACTATATCCGGTCTCCCCAGACCCCGCATTCACTATATCTGGTCTCCCCGGACCCCGCATTCACTATATCCGCTCTCCCCGGACCCCGCATTCACTATATCTGGTCACCCCGGACCCTGCATTCACTATATCCGCTCTCCCTGGACCCTGCATTCACTATATCTGGTCTCCCCGAACCCTGCATTCACTATATCCGGTCTCCCCGGACCCTGCATTCACTATATCCGCTCTCCGCGGACCCTGCATTCACTATATCCACTCTCCGCGGACCCTGCATTCACTATATCAGGTCTCCCCGGACCCTGCATTCACTATATCTGGTCTCCCCAGGCCCTGCATTCTCTATATCCGCTCTCCCCAGACCCTGCATTCACTATATCTGATCTCCCAGGACCCTGCATTCACTATATCTGGTCTCCCCGGACCCTGCATTCACTATATCTGGTCTCCCTGGACCCTGTATTCACTATATCCGCTCTCCCCGGACCCTGTATTCACTATATCCGCTCTCCCCGGACCCTGCATTCACTATATCTGGTCTCCCCAGGCCCTGCATTCTCTATATCCGCTCTCCCCGGACCCTGTATTCACTATATCCGCTCTCCCCGGACCCTGCATTCACTATATCCGGTCTCCCCGGACCCTGCATTCACTATATCCGGTCTCCCCGGACCCTGCATTCACTATATCTGGTCTCCCACAGTACACACAACATGGAAATGAAATTATTTTAGTAAATATAAACTGCTAAATACTTTTTCTCATCAGCAGTTAGAGCAGTCTTGTGACTTTAGCTGAGCATTGGTTAAAGCTTGTAGGAGGAGTTTTCTTTCTGGTCTAGAAGGGTGTGAAACCCCTGACCTCTGTCTGGACAGTGATGATCACAGGCACTCTCCAAAGGAAAAAAAAAACCCCTCTCTGGTAATACACACCAAACTGAGCATGTGGATGTGATTACGGATTCAGTCTGTAAAAGGTGGCCATTTCAACAAGAGGAGGGGCAGAGAAGACAGGATCAAACAGCCGTTTTATACAATGATGAGGATTAACCCCTTAGGTTCCACAGTGAGTATAACAAGCATGCTTTTCTGCATCTACAGACTGATTTCACTGTTGTGGGTTTAGTAACACTTTAAATAACAATATTCACTCCAGGTTTCAGAGGAGGATAATATTACCTAACAAGCTGAACTTAAACAGATTATTGTATTAAGTATTAAAGGCAGGAACCAGAGAGTAATTCTCCCCCCAAGTGTGACATTTTCCCTTTATGCATGCGGAGATGTTATCTGGAGTGGTGGAGTAGTGTGACACAAAAGGAATACAATGACATTGTCGCCTACACCATAACCTCCGCACACCCACTCTCTCCCGGGTATTATCACCTGACACCGACACCCCACTAATATCATTCTCCAATTCCAGCTCCTGGGGACACCCCCCTTTCCTACAGATGAGATTTCATCCCCATAAGTCTACTTTTATGTGTTGTAGGATCCACAACAATCCTAGAAACACATTTTAATTGTGCCCTCAGGATAGAATTAAACACATTTCCCAGATGAAAATGAATGTAAAGTAACAACTTTCTTATCTATAGATTTGGCATAAAGATCAGTCACTAGCACACTACCGCTGAGAGAGACCGGTGGATCTAAAAATCACTCTTTTCATGTCTAAGTTGTATTTTAAAACACAAATCCCACACCAATTTATTAACCCCTTGACGACGACGCCTCCCGGCCCTTTAAGAGATTCTGCCGCCGGGAGGCGGGGCGGTGGGGGCGTGGTTTAGGAATCATGTGACTGCCGTGATGACACGTCACGGCGGTCACATGATCGGGAAAGGTCCCGTTCGAAAGAGCGGAGCGGGACCTTTCAGTGAGTACCACACGTGTGCTGGGAGCGTGCAGGGCGCGCGCTCTCAGCACATATGTATTTAGTTCCATGGACGCAAATGTGCGGCCGCTCGACGTCTAGGCCCAGACGCCAGGAGGCCGCACATTTGCGTGCGGCTGGCGCAAAGGGGTTAAGTTCCTCGTGGAACTGCAGCTGAGATGACTCATCCCCATATATTATTATTATTATTGCACAGCATTTATATAGCGCCAACAGTTTGCTCAGCACTGTACATGATAATGGGAGACAATACACGAGACAGTACAGTAACAATACAATACAATACACGAGCGGTTCGAGGGCCCTGCTCCTTGGAGCTTACAATCTAGGAGGGAGGGGATAGTGGTACAGGAGGAAATAGCTGTGGGGGATGAAGTGGTGGGAAGAGCGGAGGAGATCAGCAATTAGGTGAGGGTGGGGTAGGCTTCTCTGAAGAGATGGGTTTTCAGGGTGCGCCTAAATGTGAGGCGGGTAGGTGACAGTCTGATGGATTGGGGTAGTGAGTTCCAGAGGATGGGGGAAGCCCTGGAGAAGTCCTGGAGACGGGCATGGGAGGAGGAGACCAAGGAGCTGGAGAGTAGGAGGTCCTGTGAGGAGCGGAGAGTGCGTTTTGGGTGGTAGATGGATATCAGGTCGGTGATGTAGTTTGGGGCAGTGTTATGGACAGCTTTGTACGTCAATGTTAGTATTTTGAATTTATGCGTTGGGCAATCGGAAGCCAGTGGAGGGATTGGCAGAGGGAGGTGGCGGAGACGGAGCGGTTGGTAAGGTGGATGACTCTGGCCACAGAATTCAGGATAGACTGAAGCGGGGATATATACTGTATGTATGTGTATATATACAATATATGTATAATAATATTGTTG